AAAAACAAAAACAAAAAGTAAATAGTGAGTTTTATGTCTTATACATACATAGGGTTTGTAAAGAAGCTTCGGAATCACAAAACCTAACAAACAAAAAATGGGATCGTCTTTATCGAATGAGATGAGTTTGACCGTGGTCTCACCGGAGATCCCCGAGGAACTGTGTTAATCAAGATTCTGATGAGATTGCCGGCGAAATCTTTTATGAGATTCAAGTGCGTCTCAAAGCTAGGGCTTTCACTTATCACATCTCGATACTTGACCAACCTTTTCCTTGAATCTTCCTCATCACGTCAACGTTTCTTCGCGAATTAAGTGGGTGATTTAGATAGCAAGTATGAGTTGCTCTGTTCATCGAATCATGATCACTCTCACACAACGGTCTCGGTAATAGACCAAGATCTGGCCTTTCTGGGAATGAGAGGCTGCTTCATGGGCGAAGCTCGTGGCTTGGCCTGTTTCAGAATTGAGACAAGAGTGCGAATTTGTAACTTCTACACGAGGCAAGTTGTGGAATTGCCCCGGGTAAGGAGATTTGAAGCGATAGGGAAAATAGTTGAGAGGTACTATTTTGGACACGATCTAGTTCATGATGAATACAAAGTGCTTAGCTTGGTTTGAGAGCTCGCTAAAGAACAAGCTATAATTATATCAGAACATAAAGTGTTGCTACTTGGAGTTGGAGCTTCATGGAGAAAGATTCAATGGCACATTCATCACCGACCTTGCTCGCGAGGAATGACCATTAACAGTGTTCTATATTATGATGCTTGGACTTATTCATTAGTAGTACCCGTCTGCTTCTCATGAGTTTTGACTTGAGTTCTGAAGAATTCAATGTGATTAGATTCCCCTACGAGGTTACCTTGAACAACTTATGTTACACTAGTCTCATGAATTACAAAGGAAAGTTAGCTTTTCTTGATTATTTTAGTGCTAAGAGAAATGGTACCATAGATGTTTGCGTTCTTGAAGATGCCAAGAAGAGTCAATGGTCGGACAAGAAGACTTTTTCTTTGCCGCTTTCTCAGATGAATATCGTCCCTTGGAGACCAGGTGATGGTGGGTGGCACTAGTCACAGTATTAAGGTTTTGTTGGCAAGTGTAGATTACACGCCGAATCAACCCGCACATTTTTTTCTTTTATGATTTGGAGAAGAATGAGATAACACAAAGGGTTGAAATAAGGACAAACAAGGTTGGGTTGATATCAAGAGCAATTAGAGAAAGTTGTTTCTTTGGTAGCTTTATGAAGACCAATTGGTCGCGGTCAACTTTTTGGGATGATATTGAGAACATCATGTATTTGGAGACCTAAATATAGTAAGTTAAGTGGACAAATTTTGTATCTGGATTTTGCATGAAAGCTCTATTATTTGAATACATAAATATGACAGAAAAAAATTCAGATTTGTGCACAACACCGATAAAGCCGCTTTTGGTCCAGAGTGTTGCCAATAACCAGTAAATTGTAGTTGAACCTCCTGAGCTTTACTTTTGGGCACTAAAGTTAGACCAACAAGAAGGCAAACAGAGGTTTCTAATGTCTAAATGTAATGATGAAGACTATCTTTCTACTTGTGAAATATTTAAGGATTTCTTCTTCGGAGGAGAAATGGCAAAAGTTTGAAGGTTTAAATCTCTA